AAAATGTAGAGAGGTTATGAACTTTATGCACATCCATTACTGTTGATTTTGCTACGACTTCTACCTATACCCACATAGGTTGTGACTTGTGTGTGGGTGTGTGTGAGTGTACACAGAACTGTAATATAGTGTATTGAATATCGATGTGATATTATGCTTATGTTGTATTGTTATGTTTTTAATTTACTTAATGGAATAAATAGTATACAATACCGACTATAGGTTAGAATGCAGTAATTAATATGAAGGAATCCTGGATATTTCTGTCAGTAAAAAAAAAGAAAGAAATATTCGTTGATAAATTATTATTCGTCAATAATGCCGTTATTATTCACATCAGTCCATATATTATGAAAATGGCGTCTACATCCCATTGTTGTACGGTATTGAACAAATAGTTTTTTTTTTTTTTTTTATATAACCTTTTAAAGTTCAGACCGTCAGTGTAAAACGGCAAAAGGGGGTGCCCTAAAAGTTGTAGACGTCGTGGTCCACTTCTACACATTTTAAACGGTTAGCTAACATGTTATATTAAAACTATTATAATCGTACAATATTTGATGTATTAACAGTGCGCACGTCTAGCTTTTCAGAAAAATATTCTTCTTTCGAATATTGGCGTTTAAAAATTAAAAGTGAAAGTAGGCATCTTTAAAAAATTAATGAAAATTGTTTGTAAACGCGTGTGAGCCCTTCAAGAATACCGTACACAATTTTTTGTTTGTTTGTTTAATTTTTTTTTTTATTAACCGCTTTTAATAGTTCGGAAAATATTCCTGTACTCCGTCACACACTATATAGGTACCTATACGGCCAGTTAAACGTGAATTCACATTCCTGGATAACACTTCGGCAAAAGATTTTCGATGAGTCTCTCGGACACGCCTTGTTCTCGGCGTCGTTTTTTCCGGTCAACGCATAGGCGTTATTATAATACAACACACTGTGCAGCTACAATATGCATAGGTACGAGTAAATATTATATCCATTCGAAATGCAGGATTTGCGTAGGGAATACACCCGTAAATCTGATGCGCAACATTAAACCACTGGGGTTTATCAGACGGGCCATCACACGTGGGGGAATATATTGTATAATACGTACATATATTTTATATACTCGTACACACACGATATATATATATATAGTACGCACTACCTATATATACATATAGCCCCAGCAGAACTGTATATGTTACGACGAATAATCACGAGATCTTTACACATATATGTGTGTGTGTGTGTGTGTATTGGCATCGGATCATCCCTTCGGTAATCCCGATTATACGATCCAAATACAGTCGTGTGACATCGTTACACTCTCGTTTGTCCGCAGAGATGACCCCTTAGCCGGCCATCGAATATAATATATTATTATTGTACGTTATATTATGCACGCTCGCTATACCGTTGCTAACCTTCACGAGTGTCTGTGGCTGACAGGATACTGTAAATAGTATACTTGCAGAAGCAACGAGTTACGATTTTGATAATCAGCTATTGCTCTATTCGTTCTGTTCTATATTATTATGCAATACTATACAATGTGAACGTAACAATAAGATCGCTGTGTACTTCGTATATTATATTATATGGGTACGTCAAGAGCGAAAGATTCCAAGACGAAGTCGTTTTCCAAGTGAACAGTATAATGTGAGATAGTAATAATATTATTATTATCGTTGTATGAACCGTGTATTATAATGTATTCCTGTGGTTATTCGTCATCGTCTTGTGAACAAATTTGTATAGTACATGGTTGTGACTGTTATCAAAATAATATGAGTGATTATTAATTAATGATATATCATTTAAAGTATTTGCTCTTATTTAAAACTTTGATCCATCAACCACACTCGGTCTTAGTGTAAAATGTATTATATATATTATGTTCCTTACATATATATATACAACAACTAGATAGCCGTCTTTATACTACAGTTGTGACCAATGTTGAAGTCGGCCGCCATTTATAAAGCAGGCAATGTTTAAATTTATTTATATACATATATACTATGATAATATTATTTTGTAAACATTGCCTGCTTTGTAAATGGCGGCCGACTTCGATGACAAGAAAGAGACGACTATCTAGTTGTTGTATATATCTATGGTTTCATATTAATATACACGTTATATTAAAATATATAAATAATTTAAAATAATATTCTATAATATATACTATATTTTCGTCATAGAAAAACAATTTATGTCATAATTTATTGAGAATTATTTGGTTTTTGTTATGGTCTATAGTATCTACTCAGCTTACCTGCGTTTTATTTATTATCTTAAGACTTAGTGGTGTATTAGTGAAACCAATAAAGGTATTTTTTTCAAGCGAGACGAGAGTCGTTGGTATATTTTAGGGTTGTCAATACGTCCCGGTGTTGTATATTCCTGTGTCCCGAATAAACGACCCTATAAAGGCCAATTGTCTCAGAACTAACTTCAATAATTTATGTTAACTTTTTGTTTATTACTACGTTTATTATAATTGCATGTAGAAAATAAAAAAATGTTTCAATTCATGATAAAAAAAATTAAATCGATTACTTGATTGACTGACAGTTTATATTTAAAAATTATTTTTCTGTTTTGGTGATCACATAATTGATAATATGATTGACGAATTCATTGAGGCAAATGTAAACTCGGCGGAATAGTTTTGACCGATGAGAAATAATAATGACGACACAACGTAATCAGAAAATCAAGCCAGGGCATAAATAAGTTAAAAAGTTTAAGTTAAGTGAACAGTTAAATTATTTTTAACTTTTTTGATTTAATTTATTACTTAACTAATTTTATATATTGACATAAACTTAATAAATAACGTGTTACTTTAATTAATCAAATCTATCAAATTTATTATTTAAAACCAAATTAATAGCTGTATGTTTATATATTAAAAAATAAAATAATATAATAATTTTGTAATTATGCCTACGTTTCCATATAACTTTTAACTACACTGAGCCCAAAAAAATAGAAAAACCATAAACTTTAAACTTTTTAAATGTTTCCTATAAACTTAACTTAATTACTCAATTACAAATGATCATTAACTCGCCTAGGCTTAATTAATTGTAATTAAAATAGGTCAGACCTTCAGCAATAATATTTGCCGAGGTGACACTAAAATATTATAGGTACTATTTAACAACGCCACACGACCTGGAACGAGTTGTCTTCCGTCGTTGTCGTGAAACTCGGTTAGAGCTTAGGTACGTATAAGTTGGTTATTGTACAAGTACGCGTTTTATACCAACTGAGTAAATGCAACCAAATTTCACATAATAAATTAGTAATTTGTGATGGACATAAACAATTGAAATGATACAAAGCCGTAGCTGATAAACAATTTCAAATAGAGGGAGGGTTCAAACAATTTTCAACATAAAGATACCAGATACTCATAATTTTTACTTTTAAAATAAAAAAAACTCATTATTCTCATCATTATTGTTTTAATGAAAATATAAAATTATTCCTAATATGAAGTTAGAGAAAAATATTTGTATTATGTCTCAGACCTACGCACAACATGCAGACAAAACGAATCCACTTAAAATTATTTAACTTCAAAACACAAATTCATATTTGTCAATTTAAATGAATATTAAATTCTTTTGTATCAATATTTAGACAAATCGATATCAAACTCCTTAAATATATGCTTCATTTAAATTTGCATAAAGTGTGATTTTACTCTAAGATGACTTGTAATAGCATGAAATATGCTTACACATTTAAATTTAATAAATAAAAAAAAAACTCCAAGATTACGTCAAAACATAAAAATTAAATTAACGATTTTGCAGAATGAGTTTTGTCTATGATCCTCGTGGGCCAGACAGAGTAAAGTGAAAACAAACAGTGCGCTAAATATGTCTTAATAATAATGTTACATTATCGTTAAATAAGTAATAAAGGAAGTACAGAATTTTAAATAATAAAATGTAAGTATTCAGTAATTTATTGTATTAAAAAAAATGTTGAACCCTAATAGTCAATAAACAATTTTCACTACTAAAATGTTTCAACTTTAAAAAAAAATGGGAGTTACACTCATATAGCTTCTGTTACGGCCTCAAAATCATATAAATATTATAAAAATGTCTTAAGAAAAATTTTTAAGCATAAGTATTTAGGATACAATATTTAAAAATATAAGTATATATTTTTTACCTAATTATTATTTACAAATAATTATTATTTATACATTTTGCTTCTGCTGTATCTTGATGGTCTTCTTGGGCTACTGAATAAAAATTATTTGATACCCTAAAATGAGAAAAATAATAAATTAAATGAAAAAGTTTTCCAAATTAAAAATTAAAAAATACCTATGCTGGCTATACCTTGCTATCTGTAGTCAATGAAAAAATCTGGGAGGAGCAACAGCAGCCTGGACCAGTCAATGATTTTGAATTGAGTTAATTTAAGTTGTTGGAAAATATTTTTAAAAGCTTATAGTTATCTTAATATTTATTCAACTCAGTTGGGTTAAATGTTATATGGAACTTAAAATTTACTTATTGATTTAAGTTAAGTAATTGTTTTATTTTTTTTTAAATATAAAATTAACCAGTAATATGGAATAAAATAATAAAAAGTAAATGTTTATACAATATGCATCATCAGTAATAATTGTATTATATCTATTATATAATTATTTATAAATTAAAGTATAACTTAGATTTGATTTAAATAAAATCGTCACTTATGAAGTTTAAATCAATAAAAATTATTTAAGTTAAAAATTAAGTTTTTTAATTTACAAAAAAAATTGAAAATTAACTGAACTTTTGAACTCATTTATGCCCAGGCTGGGTATTTATGCACATAAAACTCGTATGCATCATTGTATTGATTTTAATTACTTTTTAAAGTGTAAGTTTAATAGGTATAGGTTACGCCAGCAGGTACCCATAATATTGAATTAAGGTATAATTCGTATTATTCGAAGAAAAAATACTGTTATCTAAAAACGTTAGCTAAGTACCCGTGGCAGTGGCTGTCTCTCCCTCTTCGCCGTCATCTCCGCCATCCTCTCCGCCGTCATCTCCGCCGTCCTCTCCACCGTCATCTAATAAATATTCCAAATAAGTGTGGAGACGACTATCCGCATCATCTTCTCTGGTGTTTCGCGTCGTAATAATATATGCATATAGCATCCACAACGGGATGCCGAAACATACGATTGCCGCCGTGATGACCGCCACCACTTTCACCGACAAAAGAGTCACAATTTCCTTTATCACTGCCACAATCACGGTGATCACTGTCACAATGAACATGAACGTAGTGTGCCTCATATGCACATGCACCGGTGCCATAAACATGAGTATTGGTACGAACACTCTAAATCTGATGCCGTCGTTTCCATTAAAAAGTAATGCCTCCATATTTAAAACTAAAAACAAACATCCATAACAATAATTCATTTGTAGTCTAAATTATAAATTTTTTTTATTCTTAAAAACCTAAGTATTCAGTATTTTACTTCTTGAGAGTGTGTGTGTGCGTGTGAGACTGTGAGCTACAGGGAGAGAGTTTCTCCCAAGTCGAACTTTTTGTTGTTAATAATGTTTACTTTTGCAGTATAAAAATAAGTCAACGATTTGAAGTTACTTATTATGCGACACGATATTATAATGTGTTATAATAATTGTAATATCACTACGAAACATGCACTCTTTCGTTTTTTGTCAATAATACTTGAGGTCAAGTTTATGATTAGAAGTAAAAATCCCAGGAAAAACTGTTTAACTCGACAGTGTTCAAAAAAACGTAATTTATACATTTTCAAGATCAGCATAATAAAATAATATAGATCAAAATAAATCAGCATTGAATAAATTGTTTTGCAGTACCTATTGTACTACAAATATCAATTATCTGATTATTTAATATTAATTGCTTTTCTATGTAACATTATTAATATTGTTGAGTTAATTAGATACGGTTGTAAATTAATACCCGATCTACTAAATATTATAATAAATGAAAAAATGTAAATATAATATATATATATATTATAAGATGAGATAATTTACATCGAATAAATATTAATTTCGAGTACTTACTTACAGCCAGTGGTCTTGTGCACTTTTGTAGGATGATAATTTATTATATATAAATTGTGTAATAACTGACTTTTGAGGAATTGAATGGTGACTTTGAACACGTAGGACCAGCACATAAACACAGCATAAAAATGTCAGTGTGCGTCGTCGTCGTGCCTGTAATATAATATGGCGCTCGGCTGCAGTTCGAACACTCAATAATTCGGGTTCGTGGTTAGGACAGAGTTTTTGAAATATTTTGACTCGTCATTAACGCATGTGTGTTACCAACATAGTATTCCACTGGCGCAGGGATAGTGTGGGCGGTGAAGTGATCAAACCAGTTTTTTGTGACCTTTACGCGGGTTCAAAACCATGGGTAGAAATTCCGAGAATCGGGCAATTGTGTTCTTGAACACGGTGTAAAGGGGGGCGTGGCGTACGTGAAATATTGAATGTTAAGCAACCCGACCCCGCGCAGGATACCCTGCCAATTAGGTGGAAGCGGTTTTTCAATACGAGTATGACGTCATGTTGGTGTACGGAAACAGGTTCATTGTTCAGATCATAGGTAAACACTTCACCCATCAGCTGATCGAGTTTCGCTTCTATAATTTTCTGTGTTCAAAACTCTTGGCGATTGAAAGTTATAAGATGTAACTGGGTCGCTGTGTATCATGTATAATATGTTATTTTACTAGTCCCCAGTTACAGATCCACCCACCCCCCCCCACCTTCACCACCTGCCACGGCCTGATAATTGATAAGCTTACAATCGCCAATAGGCCTACGAGTGCTACCAACTATACAAACACATAATTATACTATTAGGTAACACTCGCGTCAGGACACCGGGGGCTTGAAGCACAGAACTTGAAGTAAACATGCGTTTAGAGGCATAATATTATGTACCTATAGTGAAAAATACCTATACAAATTAGTATTATGTGTGTGTGTGTGTGTGTATCTGTGTGTGTCACGAGCGCTTCCCCGCATTAAGGCATTTGGCTGGCTTATATCAAATAATAACGTTATCATAGAATTAAACCAAATATAAATATATGTAAAATTCAGAATTTTCTAATTTTCTAATTTTGATACAAATAAATTTATTCTTTGTAATAGTTTGTGTTGTATAATTTTTAGTTTCTCTAAACCAGTGGTTCTCAAACAAATTTAACTGTTATCGCAAATTAATTCTATGATAACGTTTTAAGATAAGCTAGCCAAATGCCTTACTGCGGGGAAGCGTTCGTGTCTGTATTGGAATCGAATCATCTCTTCGGATATCCCGTACATAGATCCAAATACAGTCGTGTGACATCGTTACACTCTCGTTTGTCCATCAGAGATTAACCCTTAGTCGGCAACCGAATATAATATATTATTATACGTTATACTATACGTTCACTATACCGTTCCTAACCTTTACGAGTGTCAGTGACTGACAAGATACAACTGTAAATAGTACCCACAGAAGCAAAGTGCTACGAGTTTGATAATCAGCTAATGCTCTATTCGTTCTGCTGTATATTATGCAATAATTTTTAATATGAAAAGATGATACGATCGCTGTGTGGGTACTGAGTATATATTATATTATTATGTGTACGTCACTGCCGCAGAGCGAATGATTCTAAGACGAAGTCATTTTCCGGGTGAACCGTATAAAGTGAGATGATAATAATATTATTATCGTTGTATGAATATTGTGTATTATGTCTTTCTGTGGCCTTTCGACTTGTGACAAAATGTATCCCCAACAAAAACCTAACGGTGAAAAAAGTCCAAGTTCCAAACTCTCTCCCAAAAAACCACTACTATGATTCGCTGTCTTTTTTGAGACGAAATCAAAACCTTTTTCTTTTTTCTGAGTTCTCTTCTGCCCATCACCCACATAAGTCATAAGTGAGTACATTAGATAATGATGTTTTATGCTTCATTCAGAAACTGGCCAAGTGTTAAACATTACAAATAAAAGAGGAATGTTACTCTTTAATGTAGGAATGCAGTGAGGTCATGAATTAAAAAATAGCGGACTTGACCACAATGTTCTACTTTGATTCGACTATTTTATTTTTCATCGTCGAGACTTTTTATTTAGTAAAATATTATATAATAGACTTTAATTAATCACATCCAAGTTTCTTTAGTTTATAAATAATTAAATAATTAATATAATACAATTATTATTGATGATGCATAGTGCATAAACATTTGCATTTTTATTATTTTAAACCAAATTACTGGCTGTTTATATATTAAAAAAATAAATTAACATAAAATAGATAATATGATAATATTATAATTGTAAGTTTCTGTATTTAACTGAGTAAAAAATAGGATAACTATAAACTTAAAACTTTTTTTAATGTTTCCTATAAACTTGACTTAACTCAATTACATATTATCATTAACTCGCTTAGGTTTGATTAATGGTAGGTATTATAATAGATCAGTTCCGCTAAGAAATAATATGTGCTGAGGTGACATTAAAATATTATACTATTAAATAACGCCACATGCACTGGAACGAGTAGTCTTCTGTCGTGAAACTCGGTAACAGAATAACTGGTATGATAAATTAGTGATTTGTGATGGACACAAACAATTGAAATGATACAAAGCCGTAACTGATAAACAATCTCAAATAGTTGGAGGATTCAAACAGTTTTCAATATATAGATACCAGATACTCATAATTTTTACTTTTAAAATATAAAAACTCTTTATTCTCGTCATTATTGTTTAAACGAAAATATGAAATTATTCCTGATATGAAGTTAGCGAAATATTTGTATATGTCTCAGACCTACGCACAATATGTAGACACAACGCATCCACTTAAAATTATTTAATTTTAAAACACAAATTCATTTTTGTCAATTTAAAAGGATATTAAATTCTTTTGTATCAATATTTAGACAAATCGAAATCAAACTTCTTAAATATATGCTTCTTTTAAATTTTTATAATATGTGATTTTACTCTAAGATCTAAACTTGTGTAATAGCATGCAATATGCTTGTACATTTAAATTTATTAAATAAAGAAAAAACTCCAAGATAACTTCAAAACATAATAATTAAATTAACGATTTTGCAGAATGAGTTTTGTCTAAGATCCTCGTGGGCCAGAGAGAGAAAAGTGAAAACAATCAGTGCTCTAAATCTTTCTTAATAATAATGATATATTATCGTTAAAGCAGTTATAAAATGAATAAAGAGTTTTATATTTTAAATAATAAAATGCAAGTGTCCAGTACCTGTATTAAAAAAATGTTTAACCCTAATAGTCAATAAACTGGTTTAAAGTATTAAAAAGTAAATGTTAATGCAATATGCATCATCAGCTATAGTAATAGTTACAAGTAACTTAGTTTTGATTAAAATAAAATCGTCATTTATGAAGTTTAAATCAATAAAAATTATTAAGTTAAAAAGGAAGGTAATGAAAATTAAATTTAAAAAATGTGTTTTTTAAATTTACTTGATCTTTTAACTAATTTACGCCGAGGCTGGGGTTTTATGCGCATAAAGCTCGTAGTTTAATAAATTGTATTCATTTGAATTACTGAATAAATATAAGTTTAATAGGTAGGTAGTAGCCAGTATAGGTATCCATAATATTAAATTAATGTACAATGTTTATAGATCTATTCGTACGTATAAGTGTATTATTTGAAGAAAAACATTTTTATTTAAATACGGTAGCTAGTCGCCGTCACCGCCACTTCTGCCCTCTCCACCGCCAATGTCGTCATCTCTGCAACCACCGGAAGCGAATTATAATTCATAGAAAGTTCCACCATCAAAGCGACGAACAGCAAGGTTATCTCCCACAGTGCCATCAGGACGATGGGCGATGAAATAACAGAGATTCCTTCTCTGTTTATTCGCATCATAATATATCCATAGTGGGGTATCCTCGTGGCGTACCAAGCTACGATCGCTACCATGATGACCTCCAACACGGCCACTGGCAAAAGAGTCACCACTCCCTTTATCGCTGCAACCATCACGAGAATCACTGCCCCAATCGCCAACCACGTAATTGCTCGGATTACCGCCTCCATCGGTGTCGACAACGTAACCTTTGTGACGTTCAGTGAAATTCTGGTGCCGACGTTGGCAGTGGTAATGTTTACTGCCTGCCGCGTAATGATATTGTGTACTGTCCTGTTCTACAGCTGCAGTACTACTCAAGCAGCCACACATGACTCTCCGTGGACATTTAAAACTAAAAACAAACAACGATTGCAATCATTCATTTGTTGTTAAAATTATTAGTTTTTTTTATTTCAGTATTTTACTTCTTGAAAGTGTGTATGTGCGTGTGGGCCTGTGAGCTACAGGGAGAGAGTTTCTCGCAAGTCGCACCTTTTTGTTGCTAATAATGTTTACTTTTGCTATATTGTTTACTGATTGGAAGTCACTTATTATGCGACACAATGTTATAATGTGTTATAATAATATTGTAATATCACTACGAATATGCACTCTTTCGTTTTTTAGTCGAGAAATCTTGATGTCAACGTTATGATTAGGGGGAGAGGGGAAATCTCAATTAAAACTGATAAACTCGACAGTACTTAAAAAAACCGTAATTTATACGTTTTCAAGATCAGCATAATAAAATAATATGGGCGCAAAATAAATTACCATTAAATAAATTTGATTGTAGTATCGTATTCCAAATACCAAATTATCTAATTATTATATAACAATTGTTTGAGGGACAGAGTTGCCGAACGGACTTATTCGTCACCGACGCCGGTTCGATACATCGGCCATGGGCGGCATTTTTCTTCGGGAAAGTCACTGTGTTTGGAGAACGAGTGCCGCCAACCGCCACCCGGGCATGGCGGATACCTACAGGTGCTGCCCAAATCAAAAAAAAATTCTACCAAAACAGACACACACGTGTTCCCCTCCCCCTAACAACAAAAACCTACAAGCAAAACAAAAAATAGCTAATGGCCTAAGTTGCCGGGCTCAAGATCAATAAAAGAAAAAAAAATTGTTTTTCTATGTAACATTATTAATATTGTTGATTTTGATGAAAATATACAACATGTATTATAATATAATATAATATGTATCGAATAAATATTAATTTCGAGTACTTACTTATAGCCAGTGGTCTTGTGCACTTTTGTAGGACGATTATATTATATCGATATATAAATATTATATAAATTATGTAATATATTTTGACTGTTGAGGAATTGAATAATATTATTGAATAGTGACCGTGAACCAGCACATGCATGCAGCATCAAAATGTCGGTGTGCGCCGCCGCCGTCGTCCCTATAATATAATATGGCGCTCCGCTGCAGTTAGAACGCACAATAATTCGGGTTCATGGTTAGGACCGAGTTTTTGGAATATTTTGATTCGTCATTAACGCGTCAGTGTGTGTTGCCAACATTGTATTTCACTGGCGGGCGTAGGGATAAAGCGGGCTGTGAAGTAATCAAACCAGTTTTTTGTGACCTCTACGCGGGATCAAAACTGTAGGCCTGTGAAGATGGGTTCACACTGCACAGTGTGATTTCCTTTTTTTTTTTTACGTTTACACCGAAATACAATATCAATGATATACGAATATTGTACCCGGTGATAGCACAATATTATTTTATTTTAGTTATCACTTAAATATTACTACAAGGGCAAAAATCGAAATATTCAGCAGTGAAGACTAGAAATATTCTAGTCTTCGTGTATTCAACTATACAGTATCGTTTGGTAACTGAGACGTCTGTAATTATTTTACTAGTCACTGTGTAGTGTGAACCCGGCTTGATTGTTTGAATATTTTGACACGTGCTACCATCTATACCAACTTAATAATACTATTAGGTAACATATTTGGCTGGACATCGCGGGCTTAGAGTGTGTGTGTGTCTGTGTGTGTGTCTGTGTCTGAGTCTGTGTCGGTGTGTTGTCTGTGTGTCTGTGCGTTATTGGCATCGCAACATCCCTTCGGTAATTCCGTATTATACGATCCAAATACAGTCTTGTGACATCGTTACACTCTCGATTGTCCGCAGAGATGACCCCTTAGCCAGCCACCGAATATATATTATTGTACATTATAATATTATGCGTTCACTATACCATTCCTGACCTTTACGAGTGTCTGTGGCTGACAAGATACAACTGTAAATAGTGCCCACAGAAGCAACACACTACGAGTTTGATAATCAGTTATTGCTCTATTCGTTCTGCTCTATAATATTATCCAATAATATGCAATATAAACCAAACAATTGGAGACGGGAATTTTACCGTACAATTTTTTTCATACATTTACAGGTAAATTTTAGATTTTGAGTGAAACGATGAATGTATTGATTTTACAATGATATGTGTTTTTTTTTTTTTAATTTTTTTTTTTTTTTTTTGGTGTCTGTCATCACGTTTTAGGACTGTAAAAGTGCTTGGATTTTCTTCAACAGTAGCTTTTCTGATAAGAAAGTGAATCTAGTTGGTACTTTGGGGGTCAAAAGTAAAAATTTCTCAGTAGTTTTCACAAGCGCCGGGAAAAACAACATAAAAATTATTTTAAAACGGGAATTTTTACGCAAAATCGGTTTTCCAAAAAATCGATTTTGGTTTTTGGTGTAACTCTAAAAGAAATGAACGTATATACATGAAATTTTCACTAGTTGTTTATATTTTCATTTTATATACACGATAACATTTTCAAAATATTTTGATTTATTTTGAACTGTTTAGGGACATTTTCATTTTCCATTTTTTTTTTAGTTTTTTTTCTAATAATATCAATAAAATTGTATTTGTTGGTTGCGAAGGCTTGAAAATTTAATAGAAGGCTCCTAGTATATTTTTTCAAAGGCAGATGAAAAATATTAAAAATCCTTAGTCACAATTTTTTTTTATAAGCATTTAAAGTTCAAAAATTTACAAAATATGGAAAAATCACGAAAATTAGCAAATTATTTTGAGTTAAGAATTCGTAAAAATTTTTCTTTTTAAATCTAAGATTTGAAAATATAATACAAGATTTCTTATAAGATTATCTACCTTTATCAAAAAAAAAATGTCTATAAGAAAATCAAATTAAATTTTTATGAGCGTTTGAAATTCTAATTTTTACAACATTGGATATTCACTCGATTTCTCATGTAGCGATTTGCTTATTTTGTTGTAATTCAAAAATGAATAACTGTAGATACATGAAAATTTCACTTAATGTTTAAATTAGCATTTCCTATACACCATACAAATTTGAAAATATTTTGACTCTTTTTGAGCTATTTACGGACATTTACCGCTTTAAATTTTTTTTAGTTTTTTTTTCTATAAATATCAATTAAGTTTTATCTGTTGGGCCAAAATGTGTAAAAATTTAATACAATGCTCCTGATATATTGTTACAATATCAGTTGAAAAATATTAAAAATACATAGGCACAGTTTTTTTATATAAGCATTTAAAGATCGAATTTTGACAAAATTTATCAAAATCTCGAAAATTTATTTATTTATTTATTTATTTATGTTGTATATCAACGGGTATATACCCTTTTACAAATTATATAAAGGAAACATATTAGATAAAAACTAAAAACTAAGTAAGTGTAGTAACACATAACAAATACAGATAAAAATAATATAAAATTAATTCTGAATTAAAAGTAATAAAAATATAAAATTATAATTACATTATAAACATTTTTTTTTTTTTTTATATTAATCAATCAATATTTTTTAATAATAACATAGATTTGGATTTAAAACAATTGCGTGAGAGAAAAAATATATCTAAATGTATACAAATTTTATTAGCTAAAATTAAAGCTCGAGAGAAAAAAGAATTGGTACCACTATTCGTTTTATAATGAGGAACTAAAAATAAATCTGAACTACGTGTAATTAGATGTGGAATTCGAAAACTGATTTCAGACAACAATTCGGGACACATGATATTGTAATTAATAAGATCATAGACAAACATAATATCAGTTAATTTCCGTCTAAGTGAAAGAGAAACAAGGCCAATATAATCTTGAGTTAGATGGAGAGAGTCCCTAGATAATGGAATATTCGATAAGTATGAAATCCTTTTTAAAAATTTATATTGTACATTGTCTAAATCATTTATATATGTCAAGTATTTGCATGACCAGATTACGGAGCCAAAATCAAGATTGGATCTAACTAAATCGAAAATTATTAATCAAATTAATGTAATTAATAAATTATGAAATGTTCAGTTTTTATAGCTAAGGATTGCAAATTTAAAACAAGGGTTCTCATGAATAGTTCATACTGTAACCAAAAAATCTAAAAAATATATGAACACAGTTATTTTTTACAGACATTTTAAATTCAAATTTGGACGAAATTACATATTAAAAAACCTAGAATAACTATTTTAGTTATTTTGTTGTGATTGAATAATATTATACTTGAAACTTCTAAAGTGTACTATTATATATATCTATGATAGTATCATGGTTTTTGTTGATGTATAACGCGTTATAAGTACCTAATGGATATTGTGATATGATTAATTTGGAATTTATTATAGGTACCTATTATAGGTCAAATTTTGGTTTAGTACCATCATAGATATGTATATAATATGTCTTATACCTAGACTGACATACCGTCTCCGCTCAGAATCGTTTTTCTTATACAATGATATTATATCGTTGAATTCAAATTTAATATCATCCATTATACAGTGACCCACTTGTAACCTACTGTACAGCAGAGCGACACCCACTTGCTCTCCTTTTTTATTTTAATACTTCGTATAATATTTTTATTTAGTCAATTTGATACGAACTCAATAACATTTTTATAACTAAGCTATCCATTTAACCAATGTACCACTCGTCAACTCCTTACTACAAGTATTATATTTATATATTTATAAGTATGTGTTGTCGCACTAACGGGCGTGCCATTGGGTGCTTAGCACATCCAACCTTTATTAGTTATATTGGACTAAAAATATTCTTTAAATTAAATCAGAGATGATGGTGTTAAAAATTGTCTTATTAATAATTATTTGGAGGTAGATTTCATGTGCATAATAATAAATATAAGTACTAAGTAGGTATATAACTAGTTGTATATATTTTTATATCATGCATTGTGGAGATATGGATGTCACTTTTATATAGCGTTGTTGTGCATATGAAAACAATTGAAATGAGTGGTCACTCGAATTTTAAAACGGTAAAAAATTTATCTGTAAAATTTACGTAAATTTACCGATCATCCATCTCTACTAACAATATGATCGCTGTGTACTGCGTATGTTATTTTATTTGGGTTTACTTCAGTGCTGGGGAGCGAACGATTCTAAGACGAAGTCGTTTACCTAGTGAACCGTATAATGTGAGATGGTAATAATATTATTATCTTTGTATGAATATTGTGTATTATGTCTTTCTGTGGTTATTCGTCTTGTGAACAAATTTATATCGTACGTGGTTGTGACTTGTGCGGCTGTTACTATATAATAATTTCGTCGTAGAAAAACGATTTATGTCATAATTTATTGAGAATTATTTTGTTGTTGTTATAGTCTATATATGTCTCTACGCAGCTTATCTCCGTTTTATTTATTATCTTAAGACTTAGTGAGGTGTATTTGTAAAACCAGTATAGGTATTAATGTACTACCTATAATAATATAATATTTTTGAGACGAGACTCGTTGGTGTGTTTTAGAGTTGTCAATACGTCCCGGTGTTGTATATTCCTGTGTCCCGAATAAACCAACCGATAAAGGCCAATTGTCTCAGAACTTCAATAATTTATGTTAACTTTTTGTTTATTACTACGTTTATTATAATTGCATGTAGAAAAAAAATTGTTTCAATTAATGATAAAAAAAATAAATCAATTACTTTGATTAGCCGAAAAATTATATTTTAAATTTAAGCTCTTTGTGAAAATCTTGAAAGATAAAATATAATAATGACGACACAACGTAATCTAAAAATCAAGCCTGGGCATAAATAAGTTAAAAAGTTTAAGTTAAGTGAACAGTTAAATTAATTTTAACTTTTTATATTTCATTTATTATTTTACTGATTTTAATAAATTGACATAAACTTGATAAATAAAGCGTTACTTTAATTAATCCAATCCCAGTTTCGTTAATTTATAAATAATTAATTAATAAATATAATAAGATTATTATTGATGATGCATAGTTCATAAACATTTGAATTTTTATTATTTCAAACCAAATTACTGGCTGTTTATGTATTAAAATAATAAAATAACATACAATTATATGATAATATTATAATATTGTAAGTTTCCATATAACTTTTAACTAAACTGAATTAAAAAAAATAAGATATCTATAAACTTTAAACTTTTTTATATGTTTTCTATAAACTTAACTTAACTCAACTCAATTACACATTTTCTTTAACTGGCTTAGGCTTGATTGATTGCAATTAAAATAGATCAGACCCGTCACCCGTTAAGCAATAATATGTGCCAAGGTGACATTAAAATATTATACTATTTAACACACGCCCTGGAACGAGTTGTCTTCCGTCGTTGTCGTGAAACTCGGTTAGAGCTTAGGTAGGTACTTATAATTTGGTTATACACACTATACTACAATATACTACTTTGATCGGCTGATTTTTTTGGGAGGGAGTTTGGAACTTGGCCTTTTTACATCGTTAGGTTTTTGTTGAGAATATCATTTCACATTTGAATGGCAATTTGTTAAAAGGGACCCTAGTTACATTTTTGACAAAAATAGTTTTGTTGTATATTATTCATCCTCTTATGCAAACACATCGTTTTGTGTTAAAAAATACCTATTTCGTATCATCTGGACTGTGCAAAATTATTATGAAATATTTCACAGTTTGTTAAAAGGAACCTATGTACTTATTACCTATTACTTATTATCTATCTACTTATTAATAGAAATAAAGGAAAACTGTTTTTTGCCTCTCCTGGAAAGTAGTTGAAAATGTACATGGGTCCATTTGAACAAATTTCCATTCCTTTAGTTTTGCGGGCTTCAGCATCGAGGACGACGTGTTATTATTTTTTAGTTTTTTATACATCTTAGATTTTCTCTTGTTAGACCGTTTGGGTCTCTATTGAGACTTGAGGAGCTGTAAAATTGGACTCTCAATACCAGGCAAAGATAGCCACCTACGATATTTTATTTTTCATCGTCGAGACTTTTTATTTAGTAAGATAGTATATAATAGACTTTAATTAATCACATCCAAGTTTCTTTAGTTTATAAATAATTAAATAATTAATATTATACAATTTTTGATGATGCACAATGCCTAAACATTTGCATTTTTATTATTTTAAACCAAATTACTGGCTTTTTATATTATACTAAAAAAATAAAATTACATAAAATAATATGATAATATTATAATTGTAAGTTTCTGTATTTAACTGGGTAAAAAAAATAGGATAACTATAAACTTAAAACTTTTTTAAATGTTTTATATAAACTTGACTTAACTCAATTACAAATTATTATTAACTCGCTTAGGTTTGATTAATTGTAGGTAATTATAATAGATCAGTTCCGCTAAGAAATAATATGTGATGAGGTGACACTAAAATGTTATACTATTTAACAACGCCACACTCCCTGGAACGAGTATAGTCTTCTGTCGTTATCGTGAAACTTGGTAACAGAGTAGCTGGTACGTATAAGTTGTTATTGTACTACTACGCGTTTTATACCTACACAGTAAATGCAACCGAATACCACATGATAAATTAGTGATTTGTGATGGACATAAACAATTGAAATGATAAAAAGCCGTAACTGATAAACAATTTTAAATAGGGGGAGGGTTCAAAATATTTTCAACATAAAGATACCAGATACTCATAATTTTTACTTTTAAAATAAAAAAAAACTCATTATTCTCATCATTATTGTTTTAACGAAAATATAACATTATTCCTAATATGAAGTTTGAAGTTTGTAGTATGAAATTGTATTATCTCTTAGACCTATACGCACAACATATAGACAAAAAGCATTCACGTAAAATCGTTTTTATGACTTTTGAGTAGTAACAAAGTCAAAACACCTATTACAAAAATTATAGAGATTAATATTTTTGATAGTAAATCATATTGGTTCTTTATATTAGTATTATTTAATTTTAAAGACACAAATTCATTTTCGTCAATTTAAATGGATATTAAATTCTTTGGAATCAATATTTAGACAAGTCAATATTAAACTCTCTTTATTAAAATTTTTATAATTTGTGATTTTACTCTAAGATTTAAACTTGTCATATCATGAAAAATGATAACACATTTAAATTTATGAAATAAAAAAAAACTCTAAGATTACGCCAAAACATAAAAATTAAATTAATGATTTTACAGAATGAGTTTTGTCTATGATCATCGTCAGCCAGAGAGTGAATAATGAAAATAAACAATACTCTAAATCTCTCTTAATAATAATTGTATATTTGTATATTATAGTTAAAGCAGTAATAAAGGGAATAAAGAATTTTTTATTTTATATATTAAAATGCAAGTGTCCAGTAACTGTATTAAAAAAATGTTGAACTATAATAGTCAATAAACAATATTTACTAATAAAATGTTTCTACTTTAAAAAAGAATTGTGGTGGGGAAGGTTCAGATATTTGTTTTCTGTTACGGCTCTGAAATCATGTAAATATTATAAAAATTGCCTTAACATTACATTTTTTAAGCATAAGTATTGAGAATACATAATTTAAAAATAAAAGTATATATTTTTTAATTAATTATTTTTACAAACTAGCTAAGAACACAAAAATAAAATTGATCGAAAAAAAAACTCATTCTACATATTTCTTTTAGAGTTCACTAAAATTGATAATTATTTGATACAAGAAAAATGAGAAAGATAATAAATGAAATAAAAATGTTTTCCAAATTAAAAATTAAAAAATACCTATGCAGGCTAAACCTACCTACATAATAATGTGGTCAATATAAAAATCTGGGCGGAGCAACAGCAGCCTGGGCCTGTCAATGGTAATTTTGAATTGAGTTAATTTAAGTTGATAGAAAATATTTTTAAAAGCTTAGTTATCCCAATATCTATTTAACTCAGTTAAGTTAAATGGTATATGGAACTTCACAAGTTAAAAATTAAGTTAATTTAAATTAAATTTAAAAAGAAATTAAAGTTAAAAAGTTAAAATTAACTTAACTTTTTAACTTATTTATGCCCAGGCTGGGTTTTTATGATATTGTATTGATTTGAATTACTTAATAAGTGTAAGTTTAATAGGTAGGTAGTAGCCAGCAGGTACCCATAATATTAAATTATGGTATAATGTTTATAGATATATTTATAAGGGTATTATTTGAAGAAAATTGTTATATAAACTATAAAGACGTTAGCTCCACCGCCTCGTCCTCTCCGGCAACGACGAATTATTATTCAAAGTAATTTCTGCCATGAATAAAATGAACAACGTCTTCATATGTTCTGATATTATGGGGGTGAGCTAGTGCCCGCCGCCGTCTCGCCCTCCATGCCATCTTCCTCGCCATCGTCCTTATCTCCTCCGCCGCCACCTCCAGCTGGTCCGAATGATAAGTCAAAGTAAGTTCCGCCATCAAAGTGACGAATAGCGAGGTATGAGCCGATACTGTTATCACCTCATGATAGACACTGATACAGGATTAACGTCTTGATGATCCAAGCGACAATCGCTGACGATTGCCACCACTATCACCGATGAAAGAGTCGCAACTGCTTCCATCATTGCCACTATCACGGCGACCACTGTCGTAATTATCATGAACGATGTAGTCAGTATCTCCACCTGCACCGGTGTCCGCAGCGAAACGATGGCTGCGTGCAGTGCAATTTCGGTGCCAACGTTCGCAGTAGTGATATCTTCTGTCTCCACAATGAGCTGAGCTATCCTTTTCTACTTTACTACTTAAACAGCCACACATGACACTTCCGTAAACATTTAAAACTAAAAACAAAAACATCGATAACAATAAGTAATTAATTATTTGTCGTCAAAATTAGTTTTTTTTTTTTTATTCTTAAGTCAACCCATGGTTTAAATATACAAGGTTATTGCACATGGCCCATATTGTTATCGAAAAAAAATACAATGGCTGCGCAAGGGTAAGAGGTCCATATCATAGCATATAATATCATAGTATAGCCAGTATACGTCGTCCCATTAAGCAGCCATTTTAATTCCTTAAAGTGATAAAATGATATAGTGGGGCCACTATTGCAATAACCTTGTATGTAAGCCATGAGTTAACCCTAAGTTTTCAGTATTTGACTTCATGAGAGTGTGTATGTGCGTGTGACACTGCAGTGAGCCACAGGGAGAGAGTTACTCCCAAGTCGCACTTTTTATTGTTAATAATGTTTATTTTTGCAATATCGAAAAGAGTCAACGATTGGGGGGCACTCACTGCTTATACCTACTGCAGAGACATTAAAAATACTAATTGTGGTAAAAGCAATACGAAATAAATAAAAAAAATTAAAAATACTTCGATACCATCATCGCTACTTTAATGCAAATGCGACACGATATTAGAATGTGTTGTAATAATTGTAATGTCACCACAAAATATGCACACTTTCGGTTTTAGTCGAGAATTCTTGCGGTCAAGGTTATGGTCGGAAGGGAAAATCTCATAAAAAAAACTGTTAAACTCGACAGTGTTTAAAAAAAAGTAATTTATACAATTTCAAGATCAGCATAATAAAATAATATAGACCAAAATAAATTAGCATTAAATAAATTGTATTTTGGTATCGTATTCCAAACACCAATTACCTGATTTTTTAATAATAATATTTGTTTTTCCGTGTAACATTATTAATATTGTTGAGTTAATTAAATACGGTTGTAGATTAATACCTGATCTACTAAATATTATAATAAATGGAAAAATGTTAATAATATATAACAGTGGTGACTACTAAATATTATTATGAATAAAAAAATGTAAATATAAATAATATATATATGCAGCGGGAATAAATATATTAATAACGAGTACTTACTTACAGTCAAATCAGTGGAATTGTGCACTTTTTCAGGACGATAATATTATATTTATATATATTATATATTGTGTATAAACGATGTGATATAAATCGTTTTTTGAATAATTGAATAATATCATGGAATGGTGACCGCGAACCAGCGCAGTAGAGTGCAGTACAATAAATTGTCCGTGTGCGTCGTCGTCGTCGTCGTGCCTGTAATATTGCAGTTTGAACACTCAATAATTCGGGTCCGTGGCTGAAGGACTGAGTTTAGGAAACATTTCGAACATCTCGTCGGCGTGTGTTACCAACATTGTATTTCACTCGCTTAGGGATACTACCGTGGGCTGCTATGTAATCAAAACCAGTTTTTTGGGAGATTTACGCGGGTTCAAAACTATATAGGCCTGTAGAGCGTTTGAATATTTTGACACGTGCTACCAACTATTATACCAACTTAATACTACCATTAGGTACCACAGGGACACCGAGGGCGTGTGTGTGTGTGTGTGTGTGTGCGTGTGTGTGTGAGTGAGTGAGTGAGTGTGTGTGTGGGTGTTAAATGCGGGTATATGTCAATTGCGCCAGAAATCACAGGTAAGGAAAAATAATTATGGGATTCAAAAAGGTTATACATCAACTGCGCCGGACGATATTTAGGTCCAAAAAAGATTATACATTAATTGCGCCGGCAATACTGAAGTTTATTTTATATGTTTGATAATTTAATTCATTATGTACTTTTTAATTAAAATAATTAATAAAATATTTAATATTATAATACCTAGTATAATAATATGACGGTACTATCAATATGTTTCAATTTGTGAAGTCGGTAAGTCACCATTACAATAAATGAAATTTTAATACTTTTTGACAATTTATTCATATGTAATTTATCATCGTTTATTTATATGTATTTTAATTTTTATGATTTAATTTTATGAAATTTTTATATTTTTTAAATTACACTTTATTTTATATGTTTGATAATTATATTATAATCTAATAATAGTATAATAATATGATATTTTATAATATCTTCCTGGCACAATAGATATAATATATTATTATGTATACCAAATTAATTTGTAATAAATTTATTGGCGCAAAAGACGTATACATTTTTCGTTTGGGATAAATCCACCGGCGCAAAAGATGTATAAATTTCAGGTAGTCTAGAAAAATCGGCGCAATTGACAAACACCGTTAAATGCATTTAGATAGGCATAATATGTATAGTGAAAAATATCCCTATACAAATTGTCAATGACGGAGCGTGCTATTCCGTTTAAGCCGCGTCTTATGACATTGACTTTTTCGTACTTTCGATTTCAATGACATGTTCTGTTATAGTAGGTAAGGTACCAGAAAAAACTAGCCTCGAAAAAACACTGCGGGCACGTCGACGTAACACATCATTATATATTCATCTGTAGTAGTAATTTTATCAGCGAGTACGAGTATCTTCACGGCTGCCGACCCGCAATTACCGCTCACCCGACGCTGACGTATTAGAAAAAGGACAGTATATGAGCCGTTTTCCTCCACAAAACAGATACCGTATTTCTCCGCTGGTCATTTTCATAAAAAAAAAAAATAATAAATCTTGGCCATTTCCCTTTACTTTCCAATTTCCTCCAATAAGGAATTAAGAAAAAAATGGGTGCCTCTCTGGGCAAGTAGGTTACGAGTATAATGGAAGGTGCTAAATTTGAGTTCAATGATATAATATATCGTTGTATGTGAAAGACGATTATGCGTGAACACGGTTTGTCAACTTAAGACATTTTATATTAAGTATATTTATATTGTTATTATTGTGATTCAAATAATAATTTATCCAACCACTTTGCTGTTCTCCAGTAAATAACTCAAACACAATACATTTTGTTCCAAACGATTTTTTATATATTGGGTATCACCAAAAATGAAGAGGTCTGAGAACCAAATTGAAAACTTTAATTTGTATTGTATCAACTATTATTGTATATGTCTTGCTGAAACATGGATAATAGCTATAGGTATGTGATAATATTTATGATAGCTTGTTAGGTTTATATAATTATACCTTATTTCGATTTGACAGAAATGCTCCAACCAGTATACTTTAACTGTATACTAAACTTTGTGCATAAAGTATCTCATACTTCTTCTAAATGTCTAGCCTGGTTTACTGAAGAATTAAAAGCACTTGTATTTGAAAAAAAAACTTGCGCACACAAAGTACCTACAAATATTGATTAGCAGTCAACACGATTCCACATATCTCTCATATCTTCGAGCTCGTTTCAACTTTGAATCCAAAAATGTATACAAAGCATACATTTGTACTCTGTAGTACTAAATAATCTTTAAAAAGAAACCCTAATTCCTTCTGGAATTTCGTTATTAAGAACAAATCTCAAAATTGTGTACCTAATACCGTCTATACTCAAATAGTTCCTCTGGCACCGGCCCTGAAATGATTTCTAATTTATTTGCCATACACTTTACTTCGGTGCACCCATTCCACAAAAATAATGCATTTGATATGCCATTCAGGCAACATGATTTGTCTAGCCACTGCAGCATCAGCATCTCAGATATTGAAGCTGGTCTAGATAGGTTAAACAGCTTCAAATCAAGTGGTCCTTATCTAGTATCTGGTATCTGGTATCTATACTTATACATCATTAAGTATCTTCTATAAGCTTTTCCCTCTTCCGATGCTCATTTGATGTGTCACTCATATAGTCATATACATAAATCAGATGATAAATCTGACGTGAAGACGAACTTCAGTTTTCCACAAACTATACGGTCATAACAACTCTATCCATCGTATGATGCACATGGCTAATGAACAACCAACTTTTCTATTGTAACCACTTCGTTTTATAGTTATCTAATGTACTAAATATTATGTAATATGTAATTGGGCTCTGCTTGCAATGTTTTAAATAAATAAATAAATAATACGGTAAATGGTAAGTGCAATGAACATTATTAGTATATTGTAATATTTGTATATAATAATATACTTTAGAAGTTTCAAGTACCTACCCAAGAATAATATTTTTAAATTATAATAAAACTAAAATCGTTTTTATTTGCTTAAATATCTAATTTTGTCCAAACATGAACTTAAAATAACAATTTTAAAAAACTGTGTTTATAATTTTTTTAAATTGTATGATTACAGTATGAACTACTTATGTGAAACCTTGTTTTTAATTTGTAATCCTTAGCTGAAAGTTTGGTTACATTGACCCAAAACTCAAAAGCCAACACGTTTGGGTACAAATAGACACAACGTTTGGACACATAAAATAAAAGGTATTTTATAATTTTACCTGTTAAATCAGAGAACGTTTGGGTACACAATACACATACCATACAAGACACGTTTGGGTACACTTTATAAACACGTGATCTACAATAGTGGTATACTCATATTATACTTTATATCTAAACCAATTAATATCAATTACTTACATTATTTTGATTATTATCGTAATATACGCGACTACGAATATATAATATTAATAAAATATTATTATACGAATACTTAATATTTTATTTTAATAAAATAATTAAAATATTAATAGTGAAAAATAAATAATAAATATTTTTGGGGGACTATTAAGAGCCAACCTCCTCGTGGTGTCTCCTGGGTAACGCTAATAGGCTATAAAAAATAAAATGTAAAAGTATATTAGTAAAAAATGTGCACCTAAAAGTTGGTACCAAACGTAGTATTATTTAAAAAATATTATGTTACCCAAACGTTGTATTGCTTTTTGGGGTCTGAAAAAAAGTGTACCTAAACGTGTGTTCCCAATCGTTTACCCGAATCTCAGGTAAAAATATCGTTTTGTGCCCAAACGTGTTACGGCCAAAAATTGACCATTTTACCTTATATATTTTTAACAGCAAAATAATAAAATTA